TGAGTTAAATAGTAGGACTTGTATCTGGTAAAATCCTTCTTATTCTCAAAACATTTATTAATGCAATATTCACTTGCAAAAAAAAAAAAATAAATAAAATAAAGGAATTATTCTTTTAACCCAAAATATGTTTCAGCTTTAAATAACTCCCAAATGCTTGATAAGCCATAAAAAAAATCAATAAATACCAACTGAATGTTTCTTCAGGTGTTTTGGATGGGTTAGAGATGAATATTCCATTTAATCTCACCAGAAGAATTTTGCACAATTGTCTTAAATTATGAAACGTGAAATAAAATATTCCTAGAATTAAAAGAAATTCTACTCAAAAGATAGTACCCATCATTACTAATAGATAATGGAATAGAACATGCTAAAGCAACAGCTATTCAAGAATTACAAAAAACAATGAAAACTTCAGCTACATCCAATATTTTATTCTAGATCTCAACACACAACCCAAGAAATACAGAAGCATACAGCATTATCCACAAAAATATCCAACTATTAAGACAAGACCTAAGAGCTCGAAGCACATAAAATAATAAAAATCATGTCAAAATCCCTCAAGAAACTACTCACCAGTGTCAAATTACTAACCACAAACTTCACACCAACTGTCAAAGTGTGGTCACCCTAATTGTGGGACTTGCATTAACCTCATTGAAGACACAATATATAAATTTAAATCAGGACAAAATTTTTTGGTAAAAAAATATGTTCATTATTTCATTAAAAAACTTAACATATATTATTAAATGTAAAGGATGTAACAAAGATTATATTGGGTAAACCAAAATCACCCTCGGTAACAGAATGGCAATTCATATCCAACAAATACCACTTAGTGTGTATTTAGACTTTTGCAACAAATAAGTTCCCCAAATTCCAAGTCATCTCAGTTTATCATTGTCCATACATTACCACAAACAAAACAAAAATAAAGAAAATATATTTATTCAAAAATATAAACCATGTCTTGTCAAACAAACTCCTATCCTTGAACTGGCAAAGCTGGGTCATTTCGAATTTGCTCCTCACACACTGTTAACACGGAGGGATCCAAATCCCTTTTTAGTTAGGCTATATTACAAACATACATGCATTTTTAGACATATAATCATCCTTGTTTTTTTTATAGAGACTTTAATAATGAACTATTTCTCCCAAGCTTATTAGCACTTTTCATTAAATTGGCAAAGGCGCCCGATCTACGGGCTGTGTATTAAGTTACTCCCATTTCTTTTTGTCTGCCAACTGCCTTTCTCTCTTCCTTCCCAACACGTCAAGTTGGCATCCAGGCAATGACAAACAACGTTGGCAACACGAACTGCTGCAACAAGTTGGCAAATGAAAACATACAGCAACAAGTTGGCACCCGGCAACGACTCAGCTTCAACAACCAACAAAAGATCATCCTGGTCCTGGCAACAACCCACATCAGCTTATGATCCCAGCACCATCAATTGAAAAACTTTCCCTTGCAGCATCCGGCTCACTCCTGCAGTATCATTCCAGCTCACTCCTGCAGCATCCGGCTCCCAATCCAAAATCTTCATTTCCTTTAGAATAAACCTCTATATATCATGAACCACTGTCAGGTTTAATCGCGTCAAAAATTCTTGTGAACACACCCCTGTTGTCATTGGACCGCCCTTCTGCTCAAACTCTGACAAAGCAAATTTATGGACTATCCACACAACTACAAACATACAATTTTTGTCTACAATAATGAACTATTGTTATTATTAGCACTTTTATTAAAGCAATAAGCTACTATGCCTTCATACACACACTCACAAATAAAAATTCTTGTGCACTTGGTTACAAAAACTTTGTACTATATGAACTACTTAACACTGTTGTCATTAGCTATGCTCACTGAGCTATGACACTCCCAATTTTTGACAACAATTTTATGATCATCAATTTATAGCACAAAAATTACTATGCCTGATCACATGATCATAATCAACCAATCAGATTGTATTTTAAACAGCAATCTCAGCAAAGAATTCTTGATTTCTGGTTAGAAGCAAGGCATATCATAGCATAGCCATACATGTCTCTATCTCAATGTAATTTGAAAATCATAGAACTACGAAACCAATAAAGTTAGTGTAAATAAATATTCATAAAGACTCCAGCTGCATTTTCAACATTTTTTCTTTATATATATACATACATACACATACAGGCTGTATCAAAAATATTTTTACAAACTTTGGTTGGCGTGTTGCTCACACCAAAACAAGAACAAAAGTTCATATAAACATGTCTGCAAATCCTTCATTTTTGAGTTAAGTTTAAAGTTTATGGTAGACACTGTAAAATACAAAATACAATCCAAAAATACTTTTACAAACATTGGGGTGGGTTCCTGACATCTACTGTAAACTTTCTTTAAACTTAATAGCTCAAAAACAAAGGATTTGCATACATGTTTACATGGGTTTTTGTCTTTGTTTTGATGTGATGAACCCACCACAAAAGTTTTTTAAAAAAGATTTTATATATATATATATTTTTTTTTGATATATATATATATATATATATATATATATATATATATATATATTAATGCATGTTTCATTAAATAATATAAACAAGTTTTGTCTATTTGTTTTAAGTAAATTCCTTTCATATTGTCAAATAAGCTTTTTAGCATTATCAGTGAAACACAAAAGAAAATCACTATGTTGATTCATGTTTTTATTTTTTATATGCTTTCGGCTTACATAGGCCATCATCAGAGATTACAAGTATATTATAATAAATTAAATAATAAATTATATAACGAAGATGGTAACATTTTTGTTTTAGAATGGTTATGTGGACATTGCAACAATGATAGTTTGTTTGCATGGAAAATTTCTATGCAACAATAAATTCATACATATGAAATGCAGGAAGCAAAATATCACATTGCAGTTCATGATGTCACACATGACCCCGTGAGAGTGAAAATGAAGACAAGTGCTAAGTATGGAAAGCTGTTGGTATAAACCAATAGCTTCTGTTATCAACTATAAGCATTTAAGTATATTTGTGGAGATTTCATAGTTTATTTTGTCCAGGTTAGGTTTCAACTGTTTTATATAAATAGCTTCAAGAATTGTGTGATAATGCTAAAAACTTACTCAACAATATGAAAGGAATTTACTTAAAATAAATAGACAAAACTTGTGTATATTATTTAATGAAACATGCATTAATGAAAAAATGCTGCCTAAATATATATATATATATATATATATATATATAAAGAAATATAGTCTTAAGATGTGCTATATTTATGGGATAAAGTGCTCAATATCAGAGATAGTGTGTGTAAATATCAGGCCTGACAATTGCATCTAGCATGAAACAGACTGTCGCCTCTAAGTGTTCACTTCTATGTTCACTTATATATATATCCTGTCATTTTCAATGTATGCAGATACAGATATTCAGTTCTTAGAACTGAACAGCTAGACTACTCACATATGATTTTATTATAGTGTTCACCACTATAATAAAATCAACCACACTTTTTGAAAGAGGTGGGTCATTTGAGGATTTTGTAGCACACTGTATGTTTTGATAAACTATATGTTTTGAATTCAGAATTGTCTTTCTCCTAGATTGGTTGTCACCTAATGCTATTCAACACAGTCTGTCCTGCTATTTACCCAAGGTTATTTTGCATGTACGTGAATGTAACATACTTAACTGTAATTCAAACTCAGCTCTCTCAATCCAAGCCACTATCCATTATTTCACTGTGACTCATATATTCATTCTTATATTTATAAACATTCAAAAGCACGCATAAATATACATCATGTCAAATTGTGTCAGATTTAGTCAATGTTTTCAACTATATGCAAATAAATAGAATATGATAATGAACAAAGCTACCTGATTATTACTGATTCAAAGGTATTGATTGATTGAATGGTGAAAGTTCTCTGAAGAAAACAATAGAAAAAAGCTAGTAATATCATTTCAAATCTTTGTATTGTACTGTTGTATATCACATTTGATCAAAAAGATTTTCTATGAAAAATGAACTTCCATTATGTTTCATATATATTTCTCTGATTTTATTTCCAAAGATTTCTTCTATGATTTTTTTCCCATTTTTTTCTCTTTGTAAATATAATGATTCTTTTTCTCATTTTTATGTTTTATTGTATTTTCAATCACTTTAAGTCAGTTATATTATCAACATTAAATGTGCAATCTGCCAATATCATTTAAAAAATTAGACTTCATTACAATGGCACCTCTAGATTGTGGGGATACCCTACCTTGTCTGCCAGGATGTCTATTGGATGTTGTTCTATTCAGGACTGTAAAAGGAATGGACATAACCCTCTCTTTCTTTCTTTCTTTTTTTTTTTTCTCCAGAATGTAATAATGAAAACAGGACTTCTCGCCACCAAGGGAGATTTCTCTCCCTAGTAGGCCATCTTCTTAATTTAAGCCAGACAGACACATGGTGCATCACACACACACACACACACACACACACACACACACACACACACACACACACACACACACACACACATTTTCTAACAGCAAAACCTATAAATGTTTTTCTTACTTTTCTTGTGGCCAAATCTGTGGTTGAAAGTTAATTTGTGAAGAATTGTGTGCTTCCTGGGGTGCATCATCAATTACACATTAAACACACACACACACACACACACAGGGATCTTGTTCTATGGGCCAGCACAAACAAAAACAATAGAAATTGCCAAAGAGGGAACATAGTTTAAAAAAAAAAAAAAAAAAGTGTCATGAGAAAAAACATCCTTTTTTACACTGTCTTATTGTGGGCATGTTTATCTATGTTTGCCAATGAATTAATCACTACAAGTGCATAAAGATGATAGCCACACTTAATATTTCTTGTGGCCAAATCTGTGCTTGGAAGTTAACTTAAATTCATGTTATAAATTATTTCAAATTTTACACAGAATTAAAAACTTTTTGTCTATTTTATTTTTCAGTTAGTGGAATCAATAGCAACAACATATGTAGGAACTAATGCTTACATGGCCGTAAGTATCTCAAATTATTACCAAAAGCCAAACTATGAAAGATTCCTCAAAGGGAATAATATCTTATTGAATATACAGATATATGTGTGGAAGTTAACAGTTAACCCTAGACTAGATCAGATTAAGATTGTAGTAATCTGGGAAGTAATCTCTTGGGAGTTAGTTCCACAAGGCAGTGGTTCATGGAAACTTAGATCTCATCAAAGGAATATGAAAAGGAATAAGGGTGATTTGGTACAATGTGTGTGGCATAGCGGGTCTTAACCCTAAAGATGAGGACTGGTGGATCGAAGGAGTGTAGTTCACTTTCCATGGAAATAACCATAGAGCAGAGGCTTATGACATTGCACCTGTGAAAAAGGGTTTGTTGAGTGGGAAATAATTTGTTGCCCACAAGGATGTAGAGACACTTTTGAACTCTAATGAGAGGGGAAAGTGAAGACTGGGTAACAGTACTCTATTTTTAGCCTGATCTAGCTTTTGTAAAAATAGAGGATATCAGGAGGAGTTTGGTACTTGCGGGATATTTCTAATTTAAAAATTTAGTAAGGTTTTAACCTTAAAAATCAGGATGAAATTATTCTTTTTTTTTATGGGCTTCTGATTTGAATCTTACTGCTACAATGACAATAGATCTTTTCAAAATACTTCTTTTGCTATACCAAATATATGCCACTAATTTTATATTCTTGGGAATCATTGATTCACAACTGAAATAATTTTGACAAAGAATTGGCACAAAAGTAGATTTAAATTCTGCAAATTATTCTTTATTATTGATGCTACCAGGCAAGTATTAATTTAAAACATCTTTTTTTATTTTTTTAACTTGCTCTAATTATATTTTTTTTTTCTCTAATGACTTTTAGCCTGAGCGCCTTGAAGCCAAAGTCTATGGAATGCCAGCTGATGTCTGGAGTTTAGGAGTTACTTTATTTGAAGTAAGTTTGGATTTTTATATCATCAGTTTGTTTTTTTTTTTTAATGCAAAAGTTCACCCAATACAAGGCTCGAGAGCCACTCGAGGTAGTGGGTTACTGTTAAAATGGTTATGATGAAGTGGGTGGGTGATATGAATGAAAGTGATAGGAAGTTATGGTTACGAAGATAAGGAGAATAATGACTGATCTTTAACTTGAACAGGTTAAGATTGTAGTATTCAGAGAAGCATCCATGTGGGAATCTGTTCCACAGAGTAGTAGTTCTTCAGAAAAAGCTAAGTGAAACTTTCTCCTTGCAATTGGAATAGAGAGGAATGAGGATATCACACTGTCATAAAGGAAATCTGTCTTTACATCAATCATTAAAAATGGCTTTGAGCAAATGAAGTATCTAGGCCTTAGCCAGGACCATCCTTCTTCTAACTTTGTGGACTGGCATACAGACTCATAAACAAAGAACTGTACCAGATAACAGAAGACACATGATTTGGTGACTTTCAACAGCAGCAACAACAAAAATGGATAACACAGGTAACTTGAAGAGGAAATAATGACATAATCAAGATGTTGACATTCCGCACAACTTCAAACGAAAAGTTAGAAAGGGCGCGACCCCCCTCCCCCATCAGTACTGGAAAGAGCAATGACAATTACTGGACTTGAGAAACCTATTTTCATAAAAAAAACTGTTTCAATAGAAACATTTTATAAATTTTCAACCAAAAGTAGCAGTGAATGATCAGTCAATGAATGATGAATTTTTCCTTATAAAGAAATGGATAATATTATTATTACCATTTTTGTAGAACAGAAATCACAATTTCATTAAAACTTTCAATAAATATATTACATTTATTATATAAGTTCCACAGTGTAGATAGGTTCACCTATCATCCAGTTCACACTCCACCCCAGGTTTTTGAACAGATTATCCCTTGTTTCCTGTTTAGGTTTGGGTTTCTGGCTGATTATTTTAAAGTCTTGTTATTTTCTTTCAATCCCAGTAACACCTTGTGTCTTAGTGGCATTATCGCCTTGCTTGAGGTGAAATAATTTATAAAAAATTTTTAAAAAATGATCTAATGTATTTCCCACTAACTCCAAGCTTCTACGCACAGCAAACTCCACTTCAATTAAGTGTATGTGCTTCAAAAGTGTGAATATTACTTTAGGCTGCATGACACTTCCAGCTTCATTCTATGTTGTTAATTTTGTTTTGCTTCTCCCCAAAGTCCCACCTTCTCAAACACCCAAACACTTTCAGTCGACTGTCATCACATCCATGCCATCAAAAATCAGTATTAATCAGTTGTTTGAATTATGAAATTAAGAAAGTGAATGGGTATTTAATAAAGCATTAATCAGTTTATAATACTTTATTAGCTTGACCAAAATGTTTCTTCTATGTTTGGCATTAGATGATATTGGGAGCATTTATTTTTAGCTTTGAGAAAGATTGTTTTTTTTATTGTCATATCAGCAAGCAATTTGCAAAAGAATTTGTCAGAATTGGCATATTTCTGTTAATTGATTCTAACATTGAAGTTGGAAGGTAATAAGCAACATTTTCAGCAGATTAGGAAAGAACATTTTAATTGCAGAAAAGTAAAAATGCAACTTAAAAACAAAGCTTATGGAGAAGAAATTGTGAATGATCAATCATTTCCAAAAAGATTTGTGATGTTTTAATACTGGCGGTTTTTCCACAGTTGGTTTGACCAGTTGAAATTAATAACAGTCAAATAAAGACGTTATTTCAGAATAATCCATGTCATACAATGTTTGGGAAAAGAAGAGAGCATCAATGTACTCCAAATATAAAAGATTGAAACACTGTAGAATATGGCACCTTACCCCTTACTTCAGGCCCTCTACTGGTTGAGATAGCTATAGGTTTAATACCCAAGGGTCTGGTCAGAGCTGTAACAAATATGATATCATTCCCACACACTTTTTAAGGATGGCTGAAATGACTCCAAAGGTAACTCCTATGGACACTGGTCACTCCAAGGGATGTTATTCTTGCTCAACCCACATTGTGTTATATTGATCCTGAAAAATTCTTTTACTGAAGAATTGAAACATAGCTGATTCTGTATCATTGCAGCTTAGACCAGACATCAGTTTCATTCTCAGAGTAAAGCTCCTTCCAGTCAAGTGCTTGTTGCTTAAAAGTAACTATTTGACCAGAAGCAGAGATGAATCAAAGGGAACGGTCTAATGAGCATCTTACCTTTTGCACCAATATGAGGCAGTCTTTTTACTCTCCATGCCTTTGCCTGGGTCTCTCTATGTTTTTCACTGATAGTGACCACTGTCTTACATAGAACATTGTTCTTTGTCTTGTCATCTTTGTCTAAAATAGTAATTTATCAAAGTCTGGCTTCATTCAGTTACCTACTTAGTCAGGGTCATTTGCTATGAAACCTTGTGGGGTCCACTTCACTTAGCTGATAATCATCAGGATAATAAATGTCAGAAATAATTTTTTGTGATAGCACAGATGTTTCCATTTAACAAGATATCAGTTGACACTGATATTGCTACAATTCCAAGCAGAGGTAAGATTGTACAATTAGAGTTATGATTGATTTCCTAAGTTGGAATTGGATACAAAATGATGGAATTAAAAGATAAAAGCATATTTTGCAAAAGAAAGCAAAATACCACCTTTATTTATCTTTTCTAAAAACTTTAAAATTAAATGTGTTTACATTTCCTGTATTTGGTCAGCTAGCAGTTCTCTCACTATGGGACAAGAAGAGGGAAAAACAGTGTTTGCTCTAGTCTGGTCATGTGATAGGGAATCTTGTTAAGTCTCCCAACTTAAACACCAATTGGGTTCTTCCTACTTGTATTACAAAATAGCTGCTTCTTTTATGCACTTCACTAAACTTACTTGAAAGATTAGCAATATCAAATCATTAATCTCATTTTTATAAGGTTTTCTTTGTTCATAAATGCACCTTAAAAACATATTGGCTCTTGGCTTAGTCTTTCTTTCTCACCTAGTTTTTGGGTTTGACAGTTCTTCTCAAAAATTCTTTAAAATCAATATATTTTTTAATGATTTAAGAAAACAACCTCTTAGTAAGAGAACCTTTCTCCCTGGAATCAGTCATGTTAAAAACCAATGGTCCTGAGCAGGTAAGTTCACTGATTTTAGGTTTACCAAATATACTCAATCTTATGGGATTTTACTCAAGTTTAATTCAGGTTCAATCACTCAAGAATGTTGAATCAACTTTATTTAACAAATCTAATTAAACATTTTTAATTAATTCTTTCTCTGTTCCAATTTGTTCCATTTTAAAACTAGTAAAACCTACTTTCTCTCTTCTCTTGCTCTATACAACTAAGCCAGGTACAATATGATCTAACTGCCAACAACTGAATACTATCAGCCCCTCTGTGGAGCTAATCGCCCCTTGAAGGTGGGGACACTAAGCATCTCATTACACAGAAGACACTTAAAATAGTTTGTTCAGAAAGATAAAATGTTCTGGGAGGATGGAATTATGAAGTTCAATGGAAAATAGCAAAATGTTTTACAAACAATATATGTTACTCAATAAAAACAAACCAAGTGAAAATAAACATTTTTTACATTGACATCGCTATTAACTACTGTCACTCTTCAGTTATGTTTATTGTTTTAAAAAGCAATGATTAGAATTTTAATAAAACCTAAACGTATGATGAATGTCAGTTTATTACTTTTTTTGTTTTTGAGAATTTACAACAAAAATATTAAACACAATTTATTAGACTTTATTTACAAGAATAATTTTATATTTACAACATTGTAAAAACTAATACAGTGTAATATTTATCATTTAAGAATTTATAAAGAAATAAATATGAAAACAATTTTTTATTCATAAATTTATAAACATTTACTTAATTATTAAAATATGTGAGCCAACTATAAAGAAATCCTTATTATTTACCATTTTATAAAGTTCAAATTGATTGGCAATTAGCCAATGTTTTGCCAACCATTCCAGTAAACAATATAATAGTGTAAATAAACAATCTAATAAATAGTGTTTATTATTTTTGTTGTTGATTCTCAACAACAAAAGAAAACATAAATTCACTTTCATATGTTTATGTTTTATTAAAATTCTAATCATTGCTTTTTAAAGCAATAAGCATTGCTAAGGAGTGAAGGTAGTTAAAATAATAGTGGTATCAATGGAAAAACCTTCTGTTTGACACTCCATTTTTTGCTGGAGCAAAGGTCTAAGTTTACCAAAGTTAATGTTGAATTTTTTTTTTTAAATCTTATTTTTACTTTATAAACTGAAATAACATTTTATATTACTCAATATAATTATTTTTAAATATGTAAAATAATACTTTAATATTCAAAAATTTTTTTTTACAGCTTGCAACTGGAAATTTTCCTTTTACTTTGGTGAGTTAAAATATTTTTTTTAATTTAAAATATTAAAAACCTCTTTTGATATTCTTCAACTGAATTTCATTAAAAATTGTAATTTTTTTTTCCACAATAAAAAATACTTTTCTTTTTCCCTAATTAAAATGTTTTTGTTTTCAATTGCAGATGCCTGGTCAGAATCGTGTAAGTATATGTTTTATAGTGATTTTCTAAGCATAGCTTAGATATGGCACAAGGCCAAAAGTATGGTGCACCCAGTGAGGATCAAATTCACTATTCAGTCAAAGTGGTTTAATTCACTATTCAGACAAGCTTGCTAACCATTAAACCACCTCAAGGTGCGCATAAGTTTTATAAATAATAATTATTACTGCAATATCAAAAAACAGAAAATATGCTCATGAATCCAAATATGTAACAAAGACCCAAGATTCAATACCAAGTTCCCTGTTGGTTCAATTCAACACCATAAAACCAAACTTTTTCATGCTGATTCACGTAAACACAGATGACCAAAGTTTTACTTTTGCAGCTTCAGATAAAGTTGTTTTCAGAAGATTTGTATCTAGAAGATAGTCCACAAAAGCAAATAGTGACACACACTATTGTTCATTTGTTTTTTCTTTGATGAGAATATCATGGAAGTTATTTGGGACAATTTTTTTCAAATATAAATCATAACCAGCAATTATTTGTTAATTAAAATTTTAATTGCAATTATAAATATACGACCATCTTAAAATAACACCATGGCTAGAAAAGAAAACATGAATCCTACTTCGAAAAAATTGAATTCTTTATTCATGGATTCACCTGATACTGCTTGGGAATAAGTAAGTGACAATTTAGACCACTTTGCTGCTACTTCTGTTTTCTCTCATGATACTAATGGACTATTTTTCCTTTGCTAAATGAGAACTCCAGCTACCTCCAACTTTACATCTCCACCAATGGCTTCTTACCATGTTCCCTCTAATCACTCTATCACTGTCCATTCTCTCCTACCCACCACCCCCACTGCCCATCTCACCACCAACAGAAAAATTTCTTTTTGACCACCCATTCCAGTATACAGCTTGATATATATAAGCCCATAATTCGAATTCCATACCTTCCAGCTAAGTGGAACTTAACCCTGAAAGTTTTCATATATTTATTTGTTGACAGTGGGTGATTGCTTTGATGATCTCACTTGAAGATTTTACTGTTGGTCATAAAACACCAGTCATTTCAGGCTCAAATAAAATCATTTACTGTTCACTTTTATATGTAGACATCCTGATTATGGCCAGGGACTCATTGTGTAAGACAAATAAAATTCTAAAATATTTCCACTAATTTTTTTAAATAGAGCCATCTTTTCATAAATAATGTCAGTATTCATTTAATAAATATTGAAAGTTTTATTCAAATTCATTAAATACTTGATTTTTGGTAGATTTTTAAAATGAGTGTGTATTTCATATTTATTTGGCAAGTAGCATTTTCCAATTTATTTTCTTACCTGTAATTTTCAATACAAAGGTAAACAAATTTCAAAAACAAATAACTGTGTTTTTATATAATTTAAAAAAATAATGACATAAATTTTAAGAAAATTGATTAAGCCTTTCTCAGTAATTTATTCATGAAATGCAATGTGATAGGTCCTGACCTGGCATCTCGACTTTGGTCACTTTCTCACAAACGATATGTGGCTTCTCTCTGTCTTTTCTACAAATATTTTCATGGTAACTGCTCTGACAAGCTATTTTCACTGGTACTCCAACTGCATGAATTTAAGCATGCTACTAGGTTGGCATCTTGGTCCCACCTTTTTGACTGTTGAAATAGTTAAATGTCCTCCTCTTCTACTCCAACAGCTTCTTCTCTCTCGCACTTCCTGACTTCCTCTTACTTGCTTCCCTGATAACTATAATCTTCAAAAATTTAAATGTAATGTCAAGCGACATCTAATTTCTTGATCTTGATCCCCATCCTTCTCTTTATCTTTTCCTTAAACACCCCTCTTTTCTCTTACTTTTACTCTCTGTAACCCCTTATGTGCTAGCGGCACCCCCACCTGACTTGGGGTGAAGTGTTTTTAAAAAAAAGTTTCTAGCAACTTCAACCATCAGTCAAGATGACTATTTTCTCTTTCTGTTCAAGTTAGAAGAAAATTAAACTAATGACCTCAGCTGTATGTTTATCCCTAAAAGTTGTCTTCTTATGAGAGAATCTCTGTAAGTAGCACCAGATTTTCAACATATTGCAGCAGCTCAACTCCTCAACAAGAAGCATCATTTTTGATACCACCAAAAAGAAACACAGTTTTTAATTCTATACACAATTTTTTTGGTTTGTTTGATTTGGCTAATGTGATAGTGCAGCATATTTTAGTTTAAAAACTAAGCCATGTTCGCTTTCTATATGATTTCCACTATGTATGCATAGTTATCTCCCTTGCAACCTAAGACTAGAATTACTAATCATTCAATTTACAAATATCTGTCATCCTAAACTTCTGAGAACTTTAAAACTCTTTACTGAAAAGAAACAAAAATGGTCAAAATTAAAACTGCTTTTTTTAATTACACACTCTATGCATATGAATCATAAAATAATTTTTTTAAAAATCCATTATATTCTGGCCTATTTTACAGTGGTATGTGAAGGTTTACTGCTCACTGTAATTCATCCAAGCTTTTAGAGATGAACCTTTAGGCATAATACCAGTGCATTGGACAAAGTATAATTTTTGCATAGATTTTTTTTCTTTTTAATGAATGTATATGATACATCAGTTTTTATCAAAGTTTATTTTCTGTAACTAGAAATTTTCAAACATAATCAAGAGGCTGATGTTCCACACTAAAAGGTTAGGTCCACTTACTTTTGTATGAAGCGTTTATTCATAAATTACATAGTTCCATCAGCTTTTGTTGCAGGCCTTAAGGCATACTCTTGGCTTATGGCCGCATCACATTGAAATACCAGTTGCCATAAAATCACCAAAGTTAAGCAAGATCAAGCATGGTCAGTATCTAGATAGGTGACCGCTTGGCAATATCAGGTGCTGTAAGCAGTGACATGAAGAGGTTTGATGATGTCCGTGTCCAATATAAAACTTTATAAGACCTAGTACTGAGAAATGTGAGAAAGGAAGACATTTTAAAAATGTAAAAACAGATGAAACATGAAATAAACACATTATTCAAATTAAATATAAACTAAATTTTTATTTGGATGCCATCCTGATATGGATGACCAGGACTGTCACACCCTCTCCCTGCTTCTGCACGCTACTGGCTGTAAGCTTGGATGTGCAGTTGGTGTAATGGAAAATGGCTCAGAATTGTTAATCATAGAGCCAAGTTCCAATTTCCATTGTGTTCTTTATATTCTCTTCACATGCAAATAATCTTGGAAAAGGTATCAATCCACCTCTTCTCACAAAACCATTATTATTTATCTCAAAAAAAATTCTTACACTTTAGAAATATTTTCTGGCTTTAAATAACCCTCAATGGGTTGATAAGTCATAGAAAACGAATCAATCAATATAAAAGCATGCTCTTGACTCTCCCTTTTGTATTATAACCTAAAGTTGCTGCTTGGGAGATTGGTTCCTATTAACCAGACTCATATTATTCATTTTTGTTTCAGGTTGGTGAATTGATAAAAGCAATTGTTGAAAATGTAAGTACATTTTAAACCTTAATTGAACTATATTTTTGTTATTCTGACTTATAGTTGGTATAAGATATTTTTGCTTTTGATAAAAGTAGTCCTGAATCTGGTTGACCAAGAATGGCAGAGAAAAATAATTTTGACAAGTCATTATGAATGCTTATCTATTTTTCCTCCTCACAAAATTGGAATTTTTAAGGAAGGCTCTTTACTGGAAAATTAATCATACATCAAAATCTCTCAGAGGATAAGTTTTTTTATCTATTTATTTAATTTTACAAAATATTTAGAGACATCTCGTTCTTAGCTTGGGGATAGTGATTTCTCTGTTCCAAATGATGACTTAGAAACTTTGATATTTCATTTTTAATTCTGCCTCTGCAGAAAAGATGTTTCTTTGAAAATGCTAAAATGACATTTATTCCTTTTTCCTGGTAATAACTGATTGGCTGAGGGTGGATGTATAGTGGCATGGAGCTTAGGGGTTAGAATGAACAGCTGATTTATCCACGCCAAGAAAATTAATGGAGGATGATAATCACGAGAAAACATATGATGCCTACCGCGGTCATTCCATATTCAAGCTCAATCCCCTTGGCTGATCATAGAGTTGATCACTTCAGCCCAAGTTTTTTCTCGCCCCATGTTGTGTCAATTGATTGCAATACTGGCTCGGTCCAAATGGCTAACTTGAATCAATGACTTGGTTTGGTCTGGTTAGAGTAAAGTCACACGAGAGAAAAAAAAATAAATTGGATAAAAGAAAAAAAGTATTTATATACAATTCTTTGATACAAAGTTGATGGTACAGTTATTGATTGCTTAAGCAAGCCTATGTTCTCCATGCAATAACTATTGACCCTTCCCAACCATCGTGACACACTGTTGTTATGATTTTGAATCAGACTTCTGGAACAAGGCTTTAAGTCGAAGGTTTTTCTTCAGGGCAGCCAATCACATCTCTCCATTCTGTCTCAGCTCCGCAGTCTCTCTGCCATGTCTACTCTCATCTACTCGGTGTTCTTTTTTTATGGACTCCTGCACAAAGACTATTGTTATGGTTTTGAATGAGACTTATGGAACAAGGCTTCAAGTTGGAGGCTTTTTCTTCAGGATGGCAAATCACATGAGATCAGGCAAAGTGGTGGTTCTTGTCTTGTCTCCGCAGTCTCTCTCTGCTATGTCTCTGTCATCATGTGTCTCTCCCCAGATGACAAAACTCTGCTCTTCAGCATAGCTTTGTCTGGGTTCCTCTCTGCCCGAAGTGTCTTCATCTACTCAGCATTGTTTTTATGGACCCATGCACAAGGGCTGGGGTGGGATATGATGTGCTCTGGGTACACCAGCATTCCCCAAAAAAACAATCAGGGCTCTCCCTGCAAATGCCCAATTATGGGGGTGCCCCTCCTCACTCCATGCAATTCTACCTGGGCCCCTTCCATCTTGCCTTATGTAAGCACCTCTCATCATCACTGTTCTTCTTCCCTGAAATTCCACCTGGGCCTTTTCCTCTTTGGTCACTTGATCAACCCTCTCCCCCAAGGGTCTAGCCCAAACAGCCAAATTTTAATTATTCTTCAAAATTCTTTCTTATTGTGCCTTTGTGTGTGATCATTTTCACATCTAAGATTTATCATTTTTTTATCCCCTTTGGCCAACAATTGACAAAAAGGGAACAATCCCCTGATTTGGGAAGTTTTATCACATTTCAGCAGATGAAAAATTTAATTATCATTCTCTTATTTATTTTTTGCTGGAAACCTGTGTGCTTTTAAAAGTTAATCCTTATCAGTTGCCTGAACTCATGGCCAGAGATTCGTCTTCCTCTCCGTCACTTAATGTTTGTAAAGATATTATCTATTTCTTTCCAGGAGGTCACTTAATCTCAATTCTAACCTTTGTTTTACCTCTCCAGCAGATGAGAAATTTCCTTACTTTCTTCTATTTTTTTTTTTTCCAATAAAAAAACAAATATCCTTTTCTTTCATTTTGCCTCGTCTTGTCATCAGTATATCTTCAGTCTAGTGGAAATTAGTGTTTTTCAATTTACTAGTGCTTTTCCAATAGTGTCACAAACACATGGGTAATTTTAACAAAACAAAAGAATTTATTCACAAATTTACATGCTTGAAAAAAATTTCAGGAAAATAAGTCAAATTTCTTAAAGTCCATAGTTTTAACGTATTGTCACAAAGAGGAAATATTCATACAACAGATTAAAGGATCTGACACAAAATAATATTCAAAAATTGTAAGAGAGTTTGATGCTCACTGAAGTGATATATGGTTTACATGTGTTCAAAAGCTAAAGGTACTTTAAAATCAGTTATGTGCCATGCATAATACACGCTTAGGCAATCATGTATCTTTTGATACATGACTGACGAGGCAGATTTTTTCCTGTAGTAGGTTGCCATTTCTTTATACTTAGCTTTATTAGATTGTTGAGAGAAAATTCTTTGAAGTGCCATGTGTTGGTTAGAGGTCGATAATATAATTGGCAAGTAATATTACACTGGTGAGTACTTCAACATTTGTTGTGGGGAATTGAAACAAAACCTTTTACATGACTTCAGACACTCATTAATTTTTCTCCTCATTTTATATAAAAAAGAATGCATGTGCTCACTACTTTCTTTCCTTCTTCTTGTCAAACTAACTAATTTCCATGAGGACCAAATTTTCATTGGTCCAAAAACAATTTTACATAGGCTCATAAATTTTTTCCTTCTTCTTCCTCAGTCTTCTGAATTTGAAGGGAGTGTGTAAAGGGAGTTATTATTTTGCACTCACTACAGATGTTTGAATGATGTCAGGGTTGCAATCCCATAATAATGGTGAGAGGAAATTAAACCAATGAAATTAGGAAATATCAATGTGAAGTTTGAACAGAGGAATGACCTGTCAAATTTGGAAGTGATCACTTGAAAAATAAAAATCATTCCTCAGAAACTCTTGACTTTAATCACTCTCCTAAGTGTTCCTAATATAAGCATTCCAAGTTTTTTGGGTTTTTTTTTATCTGGCAATTTTCTGTCATTTTAAGATCACCAGTTTTTCTTTTCTCTATGACATTATGACATTAGAGGCATGGTTGAGTAATGGATAGCGGCTTGGATTGAGGAATCGGAGAACCGAGTTCACATTCCAGCCGAATCCATTACATTCACTTACATGCTAATGCCCTTGGGAAAGGTGTGAATCCTCTTTCTTCTCCCTCCAGCTATGGGTAAATAGCAGGACAGACTGGGTTCTATAGCCTTGGATGGCAACTGGTCTAGGAGAAGGAAAACTCTGAATTCAAAACCTGCTCTTAGAGGAGGGTGAATGGAGTCTCTCTGAGCCTTGGTTGGCAATCCATTTAGTGATGGTGTCACAATAAAAAACACCCTTGATAGCCCTAGCGAAGCATCAAGAATTCTGCTATTGACAAGATTATGAACTACACCAATCAAAGTGTTAGTGAGTTCAATCTCGGCTGAGGCCGCAAGATGATGATGAGTAACGGATAATGACTCAGAATGAAGAAATGGAGAACCGAGTTCAAATTCCAATTGAGTTCATTACATTTACTTATGTGCAAATACCCTTGCAAAAGGTAGGAATCCATCTCTTCTCCTCCCAGCTATGAGTAAATAGCAGGGCAGACTGGGTCCTATAGCCTTGGATCTAGGAGAAGGACAACTGTGAATCCAAACCAGCCTCATGAGGGTTAGGCTCCACCAGCATGTGTACTGCGGTTGTAGTAAGATACCCACTTCTGCTACAACCGCAGTACACATGCTGCACCTATGACCCTAATGGATCATGGGACTCATTATCGATGACATTAAAGTACATTTGTCCAACTCCTCCAAGAGACTTCTTCCGATCTGGGTGAAGAGCAATCAAGAGAGTGACAGGGGTGATTTGTCATACAGGGTTCATTAACTTTTTAATGGAAAATATATGACAGTCATACAGTTTTGTTTTGTTTTGTTTTTTAGCTTTCTTTACCTATATGTGCCCCAGCTATGGGTTAAATAGCAGGAATGACTGGATACTCTTGCCTTGAGGTGGCAACCAGTATAGAAGGAGGAAAACTCTGAATCAGCCCAAAGAGGGATAGGCTTTGCTAGACTATGCCCTAGACACACCACTGTTGCTATGGCCACAGTACATGTGCTGTCCCTATGACCCTAATAGGTTATCGAACTTGTGATATGATGTAATGACCCATATATAATGGAAGCCCAATTAAGTATTTATGTGTTTCATGTGACAGAAGTAAGGATGACCAAAAGTGACAAAACCTGATATTCCCTAGAAGTATATTGCCAATATTAAAACACTGTTATATAAATGATAACATTCTAGTACTTTTATACTTGTTGATCTTATTTTTAAAATTCTTCATGAAAGTGATCTTTATGTTTGTTTCAGCCACCACCCAGATTATCAGAAGAGCACTTTACAGTTGAATTTGTTGACTATGTCACAAGATGGTAAGCATTGAGTTATACATTGTTATTATTATTATCCCTCTTCTTTTATGTACCATGTCCTTTCAGGATATGGTTGACCATGGTTCTCTGCTTCCTATTCTTTTTGTCTATATTTCTGAGATGAAATTGTAACTATTTATCCTATTTACATAATTCAGATCGTTGTCCTCATCCTTATTGCCATATTTACAATATTCTGGATGTTGTATGCTCCAGCCTTCTTCAGCTGATATTTGTTGGAATTTCAAACTGAACCCTTTATTTAGTCCACAGCGAGGTAGATTGTTCTAATTCCACGTGTCATGCCTTTGGATATCTCAGTTTCAATTAATCCAAAAGTGACTTGATCCAGAGAGTTGTGAGTTCAATACCTGGCCACAGCAGAAGGAACAAAAACTTGGAGAGTTGAGCTATCAAGGGGAATTAACTGAATAATGATTCATAATACTTTAGCTAATAAAAAAAATAAATATATCATTTTTGTCCACAGTTAATTTTCTTGATGAATTTTGTAACGATTATAAATTGTTCTCTCTTTTTAGTATGCAAACCAATCCTCAAGATCGATTACCAGCTGCTGATTTATTGGTTAGTTTCTGTTTCTTTTTAAATTCTTATTATTTTTGTTTCTTTTTTGCAAATGTCAGAGTATATCAAATCTATTTTTGTTTCTGAATAAATTCTTCATTGTACAATTACAACTACAGCTTATGCAGTCCCCTGCATAGGAATGTTCATTGAGCATAGCTCTTCTCTACTTATCATTTTAAAGCAGCATGATCAACAACTGATTATCATTCAGTGAGGAAGATATTTATTATAATCAATGATAAGTTTTTGTTATCAATTTTCTAAGAAGATTTTTTATAACAATGAATGTGAGTTGTTCTAACTTTTATATTAGAAGGAAAACTCTGAATTCAAAATCAGCCCAAAGAGGGATAGGCTTTGCTAGACTATGCCCTAGACACACCACTGTTGCTATGGCCACAGTACATGTGCTGTCCCTATGACCCTTTTCAATTATTGGTATTAGCTGGTTATTGTTATCTAAAAACCTTGTCCCAAAGTGATCACAATGTGCAACTTACTCTGTATATATAAAGAAAATATTACATATATGATTTTCTCATTTTTTTTTTTTACCAAAATAAGGGACTTTATTTTCATATTAACAAATTGGCTCCGCAGCAAATATGAATTAAGTTCCATCTATAATTAAAAAAGTAAAGAAATCTATATATAAAATTCTGTGACTTCTGTTAATCCATCTGTCCATCACACCCTCTAAAATATCTATACAGTGACCGATCAAAACCAAATTTTAGGGAGACGTGCAAACAGGTAAGTGGGTACAAAGTACACTTGGTATTATTGGTATTATTATAGCTTAGTACAATAAATTTTCATTCATTTTTTTGGAAAAATTAAAAGTTTTATTATTTAACAAACTTTCACTATTTTAAAACAATTTAATGATTAAAATGATAACATATCCGGTAAATTGCTCAAAATCAATTGCTCGACAGTAAATTGCTCGAAAAATAATTTCTCAAACTATCAATTGCTCAAAAGGCAGTTTGCTCGAAACCTGTGGTTAAAAAAAAATAACTCTACATTGTTCTAATATCTACTCTAAGATAAAATAATGCAACTTTATTGTTGTTAACTGAAGAGTTAAAATTAAAGAACGAGTACATTTATATAGCAGGTCTTATTTTTAAAACACATGTTAAGCATTTCCTTTTTTTGCACATTTCACATTTCCAGTAAATCTTATTGTTCACTGTTTTGTCCTTAATATATAGATATCCATCCAAACACTTCTTTCCTTTTTAACTCTCAACAAAAGTTATGTCCATCACTAGAGTTCAAGATCTCCAAAATTACTGAAATAGAAAACAAATATAGAAAAAAAAATCTAGACTGCTAAAGTTGAGTGTTGTGGCTCCTTTTATATCCAGCTCCGTTGACGTGTCGTGAGCCGGCACAGTTTATGTAGTGCTTCGAGCTTCAAAATTACTTCAAGCAATCTGCCTTTTGAACAATTGATAGTTCGAGGAATTATTTTTTGAGCAATTGATTTCAAGCAATTTACTGTTGAGCAATTGATTTTGAGCAATTTACCTAGATCCAAATAATAAATGCTTATTAAAAATGCAATATTGTTTTTGCATATCTTTTCTTTAAGTCTTATATACAAGAATCAAGTTTCCAGTTCACCCTGTATTTGTGAGAACTATAAACAAATCACAAGGCCGAATGCTTCAAAAAATTGAAATTTGGCTCTAGAAAGAAATATTCATGCATAGCCAGTTGTATGTTGCATCTACAAGAGTAAGAAATCCTAAAAATTTATTCTTTGCTGTTAAAAACAAAAAAGGAAAAAAATAAATTTTCTTAAAAAAATATTATTTATCATTAAGTCCTATAAAATTAAATCAAAGAAATTATTAAACCACAAAGTAGTGTTTTTTGTCAAAGTATTTTTCCAAACAAATCAGGTTATTCAAATTTCATTGATTGGTTTTCAAAATTGAACGAAACATAGAATTTGTAAATCTTGACAAAAAATGTTAACAACAACTTCAACGATACTGTGAGGATTTCAACTTCACATCAGCATGTTGCAGAAAAATTCTAATATAAACGATTTTGAAAATCACTCCAGAGTAAGTTAGTTCTTTGTTTTTTTTTAAAGTGTTAAAATAAGTCCATTTTTGTGATAGAATCATAAGCCAATGGTTTGAAGTAGCTAATCTTGGGTATAGAATATGTTCTAGTACCCATCTCATATGGCCTCAAAATTCCCTTGCAATTGGTCAAATTTCATAATTTTCTTCGAGGCTTGCATCTCCTGGGCACCAACCTGTATTGGCTCATTGAGATTGCCAGAATCTCTTAATAGGCTACATTTTGGCAACAAGAGTGTCGAATCTATTGTTGCTGGTTGCTGTGGAGGCCCCTATAAGCTTTAGGACCCCAAAAATCTAGGTCTACTTATGGATTATTTAATGATTTTTAGTCAGTCAAAGGCAAAAACTACATAATCATACTCAATAGGCAAAAAGCTAATGATTTTTTTTGAAAAAATATATGGTTGTGTATTTTCCATATAAAAAGTGCTTAGAACAATCTGTTGGATTATCTGAGATTCTGAATCCCACCTTATTTATTATAAGACATGTTTTTGTATATAAGACAATTTGGAAAACTTCTATTATGACATATTTCATCAAAGCATCTGAACTTTATTTCAACAAGATCTACATACATTAATGAGACAAAAACACAACTCACATTAAGCAGCTGAACACTGAATTTTTACTTCAAATTTGAACTCTGTTTTAATTTTATATATATTCATTTATTTTAAGGTTTTCATATCCCACATTGTTTAAGTTCTAATTTCTAGGTTAGTCCAGTCATTGGAGGAGATTCATAGATTATGAAACTTTCAATGCATCTTTGTCTGAGCAAATTATTTGCTATTAAAATAGCATTTTCCAGGTAAAAATTGTAATCACAAAAGCTCTGGTGACATACAAATGCATTGAGTGTTTTGTTTAATTTTTAAGTTACTTTTATGTTTCTCTTCTTTAAATTTCAGGGTGTTTTGCTTATGTATTTTGGGGGTGGCATTCCTGTACACACTAAAACAACTTGCAAAATCATTTCTGTTTACAATATTTGACTGCATATAAGATACACCCCAATTTCACCATGGTAATTCAAGAAAATTTCAATGGAATCAATTGTTTTTTTGGGGGGGTGGGGGGTTTAAAGTGTTAAAATAAGGCCATTTTTGTGATAGAATCATAAGCCAATGGTTTGAAATAGCTAATCTTGGGTATAGAATATGCTCTAATACCCATTTCATATGGATAGTAATTAGTAAATTTAGTAAATCTATATATGGCATATAAGATGCAGGGGAATTTTGAAAGATATTTTTGATTAAAAAAAAAAAGCACCTTATTGCCGTCAAATATGGTAAATACTTAAAATATGCATTTCAGTCTATGTTTTGTGTTTTTTTTTCTGCAGGTTCATACATATACACAGATGCATTGCACAGAAAGTTCACAAGTGGTGGCCAGCTGGGTACAGCAGCAGCTGCAAAAAGGATGCATTACATAGGAATTTTATTAATGATTATTTTGTAGGAGAAAGAAGGAAAGAAAATATATCTTTTGTGAATATCTTGCAATTGCCAAAATGTTAGAATGAATATATAAAAATTCCAAGTTTTGTTCAAATAGTTGAACACATCATTTACATTATTTACATTCTGATTAGTGTCTTTTCTTTTCTATTATCATGTTCTGGTCATTGTACATTCTGGCCTTTAGGTATCTGTCAGTTGGTGTAACCTTCAGGGAATTTTGAATATGACCCCTTTATTTAATCTCTGGGATAGAATGTTTTTATTTCATAGACAATATCTGGGAATATCTTGTTTTGTTCTAGACATGGACAGTGGAACAAGAACAATCTACTTCTGTAGTTCAAAATTCCCTGAAGATTACCTGTTTCAACAGACACCTGAAGAAAGCTAGAGGGTGTAATGACGGAAACATTGTTACAATAACAACAGAGATGAGGATATTAGTCTGAATGTAAATAATAACTTCTCATGCCAGAAATTTAGTTGAACTCCTCTTTACAATCTTGAAGTTCTTACTACAGTATTTCAACGAATCCATTGATTGCTAAATAGCCTCATGAGATTGACTTTCATATGGATGTCATGTATCATGCCACACCTGTTCAGAAATATCTAAACTGTTAACTGTTTACAACCACTTTCTCAGATCAATGATTAAAATGGCTTTGAGCAAATGAAGCCAGTAAGTCTTAGCAAGAACCATCCTTTTTTTAAACTTTGTGAACTGGTGCTGCAGAATCACAAAGAACTGTACTAAATAACAGAAAGTACATCACTTGAGGACTTTCAACAACATCAACAACTAAAATGGGTTGCACAGGTAACTTGAAGAGAAAATGGTATAATCAAGATGTTGACATTCAACACTACTTCAAACAAGGAAGGAAGTGGAGTAACAATCACTGGACTTGAGAAACTTATTTTCCTGAAAAATTGTTTTAAAAAAAAGATTTTAGAAATTTCAACTGAAAGTAGCATTGGCAGCTCAGTCAAGCAATACTGAATGTTTCCTTATAAGGAAACAGCTACTATTACCATACAAGAGTCAGATTAGGCTGAAAAATGGAGTACCATATATGGGTAGGAACTGCCCAGTCTTCACTTTCCACTGTCAAAGTCCAAAAGCATTTTCCATGTCCTTGTGGGTGATAAATAATTTTCCACCCTTTCTCACAGACAAGACATTGCAAACCTCTTGCTGCTCTATTGCTATTTCTATTGAAAGTGTTCAGATGAACTACATTCATTAGTTTCACTATTTCTAACCATCCCAGCTAAGACCCTCCATGCCACACACCTTGTAAAAATATACTTTCATTCCCTTTGTATTCCTTTGGTGAGATTTAAGTCCCACTCAAGCAGCTTCTTCCGACAAACTACTGCCTTGTGGAACCAACTTCCAAAAAGATGCATCCCTGATCACTACAATCTTAACCTGTTCATGTGTAGGGTTAACCATTATCTACCACACATATCTGCATAAGAATATCTGTTACTCTGTAACCCTCTACCTCAAGTGACCCTTGGGCCTTGTACAGGGTGAATGAAAGAAAAAACTACCATCCTAGCAACCGTTTTCTGTCACCATCTTGTTCTGTAAAAAGGTGACTTTTCTCTTTCTTTACAAATTGTAGAGAGACTAGAATGCATTGTCCAAAATGTGATAACATCATTGACAATGTGGATGAGTTCAATTGTCCAAACAAAGCTTGGAATGTTAAATTTTCTTCTCAAAATTATAGATAAAAAATAAAAATTTGGGGAGGGGACTTATTTTAAAGTGGGTTTTGTTATATGAGAATTTTTTACTGTTTATTTCTTTGCAGGCATTTTTAAGTTTTATAAGTTATATGCAGTGTAGTGTTTAGAGTTGGTCATTAGAATATTTAACATGTTTATATCCTTACATTACAGTAAATAGTAAATTACATTAACTATTTATGATCGATTAAAAGTACAGACAGGAATTATAAGTCGGGATTTCAGTTAACTTTTGCCTATTCAACTTTGACTTGAAGTGATGCACAACTACTTTAGGACAACATCCTTTTTTAGACAATTTTTAAAAAATGCTGAACACAGTAGTGACATCAGATACAAAGTCTTTTACTAAAGTTCTAAAACGAGACTAAATTTACCAAAAAGAACTCTTGCCTAAAATCAGGTGGGTTCCAGATTTTAGAAAGTGAGTCAGGAAAGGTTTTTTTTCTCTTTATTGTGGAAATCAAGTACAAGGAGTTTATTGTAATTTTTTTTTTTTTTTTGCTGATCTGGATACAGTTATTAGAAGAGAGAGAAAGGAAGAAGAGAAGGAAAAAATGAAAGGAAGGCATAAAACATGTCATATGCATATTGCTTTTATTGTGGTCTTATTATAAAACGCAGATTGTGTGTGTGTGTGTGTGTGTGTGTCTGTACGTTTATATATTGGATCGGATTTCCTACATTTTTCAACCAATTTCAACAAAACTTCACAGGACTGCGTAAAATTACCTTGCAGAGGTTCTGACAGCACCAAGAATTGGAAAAACACAATTGTTTTGCATAAATTCAATTTGAAAACATGATAAAACACAATTCTGTCACCAGAATGAAAGGGGGACAACTCATATCGAGTTATACTTATTATAAAACCCAGGTTGTGTGTGTGTGTGTGTGTGTTCATTTATATATGGGATCGGATTTCCTACATTTTTCAAACCGATTTCAACAAAACTTCACTTTTTTTTTGGCAGGTAGTGTTTCTTATTGTCTGGCACACTTTTTTCTTTATTTTTTACATTCAAAATGCTTTAAAAATTCCCTTTACAAGACAATTGTTTATAATAAAATTCTATTCAATCGCTAGACTCATAACGATTGAAAACAATGTCTTTGTTTGAGTTTGGGTTTGACTAATTTGTAAAAAAAAACAAAAAGACAAAAAAAAACTAATTAAGACATGCGTGTCCATCAACCTTAAACAATAATCTTTGTCAATTTTATTTTTCAGTCTTTATGATGGTCGATACTTGATCTATCTCTTACTGTTACATCCCCGGGCAACGCTGGGCTCTACTGCTAGTTCCTAATAAAATCAAGATGAATGTAGTTGTCAGCTTGCCTTGATCCTTTTTACAAATTCCATTAATTTCAATGTGATTCTTGTAAGTATTTAGATATGGTTTCCCAATTTTAACTTTTTCAAATTTAATTTTTGAAATCAGGAATTATAAATAAACCTTGATTTATTCAAGCTTATTTTATAAAAAGTGTTATAGACCTGACATAATAACTAAATATGAAAAAAATTCTTTTAAGCTTGGTTCTTTCTTCTTCTTTGGCAAGACACTGAAACACAACATGTCTCTTTCTTTTGTCTTCATTCTTCCATATCCTTTTCTTCTTTCTCTTGTTTACTCTCACATTTCCTCATCCGTGCATACACCTTTTCAAAATGGTGAACTAAGCATGCACAACATGAATATTGTTCATTACAGAAATATAATGGAATTTTAATTAGAAATTTTGTATCCTCCTCCAAAACTTAACCAGTTGTCTCAAACTAATGTTCTATCATCTCCAGGACAACATTAATCACTCAAGATTAATGATCTAGATTAGGGTTGTCCAACCTTTTTTCATAATTAGCCAAATTAGAAATTTAGGTATATTCACCTGGCCACAAAAGTACTTTATTTAAAAAGTTCAAAATGTTATGAATATTAAATTTTAATAACAAATATATATAATTACAAAAATACTGTATTATTGACAGTAAAATAAGTTATACATAGAAAAAATAAAATAAATTCAATATGATTTTTGATATTGCTTTCCTTTTATAATATTGTCAATATCTGCCTTAATGGCACTAGTTTTTATTCTAAGAATGTTAGTTAAATGGGAATCACTCAACCGATTTCTTTCAAGAGTTTTGATTTTTTTTCATGCACAAAAAGAATTGTTCACAGCAATATGTACTACACTACATGCATAAGTTTTCTAGATAAGCTAAATGATTTTTATTTAGCTCTGTCTTTTGTATGTTTCAACAAAGGCTTTTGCCCCCTAACCCTTTTAGTGCAATGGGGAGGTGCACCTACTAGCACAATCTGAGAATAATTCTCTCGACATATGTTACTAAAGTAAATGAAAATTTACTTAATAATTTTATGGTGGTGGGGGGGCTACATGAAAATATTAAGTCGGCCGCAGGTTGGACATCCCTGGTCTATATCCACCAAAGATGTGAACAAATATGTGAATAATTCAAATTATATAATTTCATTTATTTATAACTAGCAGTAGAGCCTGGTGTTGCCCGGGGATGTAACAGTAAGAGATAGATTAAGTATCGGCCATCATAAAGACTGAAAAATAAAATTGACAAAGATTATTGTTTAAGGTTGACGGACACGCATGTCTTAATTAGTTTTGGTTTTTTTTTTTTTTTTTACAAATTGGTCAAACCCAAACAAAAACATTGTTTTCAATTGTTATGAGTCTACCGATTAAATAGAATTTTATTATAAACAATTGTCTTGTAAATGGAATTTTTAAAGCATTCTGAATGTAAAAATAAAGAAAAAGTGTGCAAAACAATAAGAAACACTACCTGCCAAAAAAAAAAAAGTGAAGTTTTGTTGAAATCGGTTGAAAAATGTAGGAAATCCAATCCCATATATAAATAAACAAACACACACACACACACACACACACACACACACACACACACAACCTGGGGTTTATAATAAGTATAACTCGATATGAGTTGTCCCCCTTTCATTCTCGTGATGACTCTTAATCGTGGATTTCAAATTGATTTTGTGCAAAAACAATTGTGTTTTTCCAATTTTTGGCACTGTTAGAACCACTGTAAGGTAATTTTACGCAGTCCTGTGAAGTTTTGTTGAAATTGGTTGAAAAATGTAGGAAATCCGATCCAATATATAAACGTACACACACACACACACACACAACCTGGGTTTTA